AGCATGGAAAATGGTATGAAAACCACTAATTTGACAGAAGGGACAAACTTCTCCTCTCTCGCGTTCATTATCAGCGTGTGGGCAAAACTTTAACTGGAATAAACCTTCAAAAAGCTGTCATAACATTGCACATAATGCGTAAGTCCTGGCAACAACCATACCCAGGTGAGAACAAATTGCGATAAATAGTAAGAAAAATGGAAGAATAAGATAAACAAACAATTGCAGAATTTGCAGAGCTGGAGAACTGCTGTTAGATATCGACATCCACCTTGTTAATTTAATAAAAGATTTAATTTTCTCTTAAACACATGCAAAGGGCATTGAAATAGGTGTCAGCACCTTCACAAAACCATGCTGTAGACGTGGCAGTGACCACAAATAAATTGTTGGGCACCAGCAACTGCACTCACAAAAAGTGTTATTTCACAAAATGTTGGGTTTGGGCTTCCTTGCCCAACCCAGGAGGCATCACCAACCTCTTCCTCACCCCCCGGTCCCCAAACCCAAGAGGGAAGCTCGAGCAGGACGGAGGGAGGGAAGGGCAGCCCCGCTCTCACCTGTTGGTGAAGACCTTGCTGTAGTTGAAGACCTGCACCTCCAGGATCTCGTTCCCATCGATGTTGCTCGCAACCGGCCAGCGGAAGGTCTGGGGAGGAAGGACGGGGAGACGTCAGGCTGGGGACGGGGAGAGGTGGCAGGGGTGATGAGGATGGGGCTGGGAGGGCCATGAAAAAGGCAGGGCTGTATCACAGGAGGCTTGCCAACCATGTGTCCTGGTGCCAAATTTATATCTATATCTATATCCCTATCCATATAGATATCGATATAGGTATCTATAGATACCTATCTATAGGTATAGGTATCTATAAATATCTATCTATAAATATCTATCTATACAAAATAGATATAAAGATATGCAGATATATAAATAATATCTATATATCTATGTGATATAGATATATAGATATAGATAAACAGATATATAGATGTCTATATATCTATATCTATCTATATAGATTAGATATAGATATATAGATATCTGTATTTATATCTATAAAGATAAGATAGGTAAAGGTAAAGGTAAAGGTAAAGGTAAGATGATACAGATAAAGATAAGAAAATACAAAGATAAAGATAAAAGATAAGATAAAAGATAAAGATAAAAGATAAAAGATAAAAGATAAAAGATAAAAGATAAAAGATAAAAGATAAAAGATAAGATAAAGATAAAAGATAAATTTGGGTTTCAATTTTTTTTCCTTCTTTTCCTCCCCAAGCCAAGGAATCACCCTGCCAAGCCAAACCACCCAAGCTTATTTTCCTCATTTTCCAAGTCTCGGATCCCTTCCAGCCGCCCGTGTCTGAGCAAAGCCCCAACTGAGATGCTCTCGGTGCCTTGGGGACACGGGGACGTGGCAGTGGGACCGAGCCCCGCACTGCTGCAGGGCTGAATTCAGAGCCTGGGGGGAAAGTGCTGGCCAAGCAGCTTCACAGGAAGGCGTCTGTGACTCTTCAGAAACACTCCAACGCTTATTTCTGAAGCTAATTTCTTCCCTTTTATGCTTCCTGCAGTGAGTCAAGGAAGCGAATATAAAAACATCTGGAAATAGGGAAAAAAAATATAGAAATGGCCTCACGACATCATTTTGCTTCCCACAGGGATGGGGAGCAAGGCGCCGTGCCCAGGACCTGTGCCGGGGCTCTGGCACCCACCGGAGTGGGGCAGTCAGGATTTTGGGTAAAGTGCCCCAGAAAGTCTTCCTTGGGAATGTAATTGATCAATTTTTGGGGAGGAATTGGAACGAGCATCCCTCCGTCCTGATTGCACGTGGGTGAGTCCCTGCTATGGGGTCGGGGACCTGGCTGTCCCTTGCCCTATGGATTTGTGCAGCCCCCAGCACCCCTCTGAGCATCCCCACGGAGCCTTGCTGAGAGCTCTCCGTGCCTCAAAACCTATTTGGGGCCGTTAACACCACAGCCAGCGAGCAAAACCCAAAGCCCTGCACCTGGGAGAGCAGCAAAACACGGGGAACAGCCCCAATCCGCTGCTCTCCGTGGCTCCACTCCTCTTCCCAGCATTATTCGTGCCCTGGTGCCCACCCTGTTTCCACAGGACCCCCATCCACTGCCTGAAACCCCGGGGAATGCAATTCAGTAAAGGCGAGCACCTCGCTCTGGATGTTGCCCACAACCCCCCCAAAAAAAACACCAAATCCAGCTGATTTGGGGTACCCAGCCCTGCTCCTTCCTATCCTACAGATCCTACATCCCATGCCCTGGGGCATCCCGCAGCAAATCACGGCCATCACTCCCCCGAGGATGCTGTGCTCTAAACCTCAGGAAAAACTTTTTATTATTATTTTTTTAAGCCTGGTAAGGATTATTAGGGTCACTCACTGATTTCTAATACAACCCAGGCCGTGGATTTTCGTGTTTTACTCAGAGGTTCCTAAATTAGAGACGCCCTGTGCCTCGGTCTTAACAAATTTCTAATGGGGGAAAAAAAAAAAAGAAAAGGAAAAAAAAGGAAAAAAAAAAAAAAAGGCACACCAGAATTCAATCAGCAATTAATTACCCTTCTAGATAATTGGCTTCCGCAGCTGGTTACCTTCAGTAATAAATCATTTATTTCTGCCTTGAACCTGCAGGTGGGATACGGGGACGGGCTGCCCCCTGCTCCCTGACCCCAGCCCTGTGAGCAGACCCCGTTAACACGGCCCCAGAGCACACCATCCCCACCATCCATCACCGTGGCACCTCCCAGAGCTGGGGCTGCCCCCCGAGCCCCCCCTGCTTTCCTTGCACCCCTTCCTTCCCCATCTGGCTGGCCGGTTGTCCTCCTCGCGGGTTTATTGCCAAAAGTCTTATTAAAAACCCTGCGCAAAGCTGAGCGGGTGATGGGTCGGTTTTATCTGTTTTATTGACAAAAGGGGAAAAAATAAAAGGAAATAATTAAAAAAGGTGTTTTTTTTTCTTTTCCCTTTGGAGGAGAAGCCACTCGGGGTGCACACGGGATGCGATGCCACCGTGCAACAGCCACGGCACCGCGGCCACCCCCTGAAATAATCAGCAGCTTTGCTTCCCCAGGCTCTGGGAAGGCACAGGTCCTGCATAATTCATTGAGCCGTGAATAAAAATAATTGGAAAAAAAAAAAAAAAGGGAACGGGAGGAAAACAAACAAATGGAAACCACTGGGGCAGCCCAAATCCAGCCTGGTGGTGGGATCTCGCGAATGCCGAGCAGGGGCAGGGAAGCTTCCCCGTGAAGGCTCCTGGTGTGGGGGGGGAATTTGGGGTGCTGCAGTGAGGCAATAATAAAAAATAAATTAAAAAAAATATATATATACCACCTGGGCTTGTTAATTATTTGTCATTTGTGTATGGAAATATTCCTCTCCTGGACTCTCCCATCAGATAATTGCTGGGGGCAGCCCCGCAATTATCACCCCCGACACCCCCAGCCCCAGCAAAATGGGGTCTTGAGGTTCTTGAGATCCTTCAGCACCCACCAGGGAAATGCTGGAGCTCGTAAAGCTGGTGCCAAGACACTTAAATTTGAGTTTTTCACCCATAATTGCTTTTTTTCCCCCTTTTTCCTTGCAAGGAGGTATTGGTGCCTTGGGAATCCCTGTGATCCCCTAGGAGGAGGGGAATTTGTATGGAAAATCAGGCAGGGGAGACGGAGCAGGAGGCAGGCACGTCTCCTCTTACCTCCTCAAACCTGGCCTCGTCCTCGCAGCTTTCCAGCACTCGGGTGTAGAAGGAGAGCCCTGCAGAGGAGACACGGGTTGGTTGTAGATCGCCTTGTAGATCGTGGATATTTTAGGTTTAAAAGCCCTCCGAGACCACCAGGTCCTGCCCCTCACCCACGAAACCACGTCCCAGGAACCCCAGCCTGGAGCTTTTGGCTGCCCTCGTGGGATAACCTCACCTCCCCACCAATATTTTTAATTAATATCTTCTTTATAACGTTGCCTCCTGTGGTGTTAGGAAAATGCTGAGTATCTCACTGAATTAAATTGATTTTTTTTAAACTTCCCAGGTAATTAAATCTGGCTCAGGGCGGGCGCTTTGGGCGCAATCAGCCCCTGGAGGCCAAGGCACCCCCTCCCACCGCATCTCCAACTTCATTTTACCAAAATTGGGGCATCCTGCGGGCACGGCTCTTTGCAGGGAATGCCCCATCCCATAGCTGGACCCTTTCAGATTTAATTATTCCCCAAGGAGAGGCAGAAAATCCCTTTGGCAGGTGCTGGAAGCAGAACCAGAAGGTGCAGCGCACATCCCAAACATCCCAAACCACCCTCCAAAGTCCCCTGCCACGAAGCTTCCCACCCACAAATGTGGGATTTTCTCGGGGACCTCACACCAGCCAGCTCCACCTGCAGGACCAGGGATGGGGCCAGCAGGAGCCGGACCCCAAAAGTCCCCAGCTATGGGGTCAGGCACCGTGTGTCGGTGCGGGCAGCACCTAAGCCCTGCTCTGGGCTCCTGGGGCAGGGACGGGGCAGGAGAGGCTGTGCTGAGGGCACGGAGCCCTGGGGAGGTTTGGATCCTTTTGCAGCCCCCCCTGGGAAGGTTTTGGGGCTGGAGGGGATTGGAGCAGAACCAAAACTGCAGCCTCGGAAGAAATCCCAGCTCACAGCGGGTCCTGGAGCCAGGCGAGTTCCTCTCCCAGCCCTTCTGGTGACACTGCCCTGGTGGCACCGTTTTGCCACCCAAAGTGCAGCCCTGACCCTAAAAGTGGCCCAATTCCCCCCCAGCCATCCCTTGGGAAGTGGGGTTCACCCCCCTAGGACTTCCCCCCTGCACAAATCCCCCTCCCCAGGGCAGCAGGAATGGGGAGGGGGCACCTCGGGGAGGGCTGGGCGACCCCCTTGGTGCACCCACGACGGGGAAACTGAGGCAGGGGGGGGGGGGCAGCCGGGCACAGCCCACCGCGGGGACACCCCCACACCCCTCCCCAAATTCTCCCAACTCCGCCTTCCCGCAGCCCCCCTCCCCATTACCTCGGAAAGCCGCCTTGGCGATGCGGTCGGCTCTGCCGCGGAGGCCGGAGACGGTGCGGAGCTGGAGCTGCAGAGCCATGGGGTGAGGAGCAGGGGGGGATGCGCGGGGAGATGCGCCCGGAGAGATGCGGGGAGATGCGGGGAGATGCGCCCGGGGCTCTCCACCGGGAGATGCGCCCCGAGATGCGCCCGGGGCTCTCCACCGGGAGATGCGCCCGGAGATGCGCGGGGTGCGGAGCGGGGAGCAAGGCTCTGCACGGGGAGATGCGCCCGGAGATGCGCGGGGATGAGCGGGGAGATGCGCCCCGAGATGCGCCCGGGGTTCTCCACCAAGAGATGCGCCCCGAGATGCGCCCGGGGTTCTCCACCGAGAGATGCGCCCCGAAATGCGCCCGGGGCTCTCCACCGGGAGATGCGCCCCGAGATGCGCGGGGCTGTGCGCGGAGATGCGCCCCGAAATGCGCCCGGGGCTCTGCGCGGTGCCCGGTGCGCGGTGCCCCCCTCTCCCTCCCCAGCGCCGAATTAATCCCTTCTTCGGCAGCGGCCCCGCCTGCCCGCCCGCCCCTCCCCGGGGCTGGAGGTGGTTGAAAAAAAAAGGGGGGGGGATGTAGGAACCACCCCCCAGACCCTCCCCACAGCAGTGGGGAAACTGAGGCACGGTTCCCCCCGCTGCGAGGCGCCCAGCACTTCCCAGAAAAATACTCCTGGGGTGGAGAGCGAGCCCCGGAGGGCTTTGGTGGCATCAAAAAGAGACAAGCGAGGGTGTAGCCTTCACAAATGGGTAATAAAACCGTGGAAATAGGGCACCTGGTTCCATCCAACAGCATTTTTTGGTTCCTTTTTGGTCCTTCTGGGCAGAACTGCTGTTTTTTCAGCCCCTTTTCCCCCCCCTCTGCCTTCGCTCTTGCTAAAATGCTGGAGGCTGGGGGCAGCGAGGGTTTTGCTGAGCTTAGTCCTGATCGTCCAGAGGAGCTCTCGTGGGTTTTGGCACGAGTTTACCCCACAGGTGCTTGGCTCTCCCCTCCGTGGAGAGGGGCCGGGGGCTGCTCCTTGGAGAGCTCCCCAAGCCCAGGGCCGTGGGGCTGGGCACCCTACTGGGGCAGGAGGGGGACAGGGGCACCCAGGGGTGCCCCCAGCCCCAGCCATCCCAAGAGTTGGGGTCTGTAGGAACCCCACGGGTGTGCAAATCCCCCCCCCATGGGGCTTCTGGATGGAGCTGCGCCCCTGCTCACGTCCCTCCACAAACTCTGCTGGTGTTTGTCTGCTTCCTAAAGAAGCTCAGTGCTTTTTTTTTATTTTTAGATGGAGAAGGTCTCCCCCTGCCCCGCCGGTGATTTATCTTCCCCTTACACAATTAAATGGGATAACGAAGGTGAGCAGGAACAACGCAGGAACCCAGCCGAGCCAACACACAGGTCCCCGACGCACGGCGCACCCGAAGCGTTCCCCCGGCTGGCTGCAATCAGCAGAGCGAGGTGAGAAAATGCCCTTCATAAACACAAATCGCGGTTTTCTCCGCAATTTTCACATCGCTGCATGTGAACAAAACCACACACCCACCTCTGAATCACTGCTGATTGCTCCTATTTACTACGGGTTTGCACCAAAGACTAAGGGGAAAGCAGAGCTTGCCATGGAAAGGATCTGGCCTTAGCTGGACCCTCCTTGTGCACCCCCCACAGCACCAGCATCCCATCAAAATTAGCCCAATCCAATCATCCATCCCCAAAACCAATGGCCTTCTGATGATGCTACAGGACTTCGCGTCCAAAATTAATGAAATTTTCTCTTCTTAACTCTTTTTCTCTAATTTTTTTTTTCCAGCTCTTCTCCTCCTACGCTCGGAGCAATCACATCAGCCTCCCCATTTGTCAAACCGCTGAAATCCTTTATATTAATTGCAGAAAGTTTCCATCTTTTTCTTTCCCCTGCTTTTTGTGGGCAGCGCCAGCTCCTCGGAGAGCCGGAGAGGGGCTGGGGGTTGAGCTGGGAACCGGGAACCTCTGGGACAGGCAGGAGCAATCTCTGCCAAATAATCCCCTCTGTTTTTTCCCCCTCCCAGCTCTTCCCAAACCCAAATTGCCTACTGCAGGTCTCTCTGCACCAGCTGTGGACCCCCCCTGCACCGAGTCTCTTTGATTTTGTAGGTTTTTTTTTGGGGATGCAGCCGTCAGGAGCGAGGCTTTGTGGGGTAAGGCCGCCCCGCGGCATCATCTGCAGCTCGGAGTGCTGCGGTGGGCGGCTCTGCCTGTGCGTGCTGGGCTCGGAAGAAAAGGGAAAAAATGCTGTGGAGGCAATTTCTGTACATAAAGGAGGAGCGTGAGCAAACTCAAGGGCTTGCTAAGGAAGGAGGAAACTTCCCTGTGTAAGTCAAATCCTCCAAATTGAGCATCCTGCCTGGAGAGGAGCCCTGCACTTCCCCATCCAGCACGGCGACGCCAAGATCCTGCTGGTCTCCAGAGGAGCTGGAGCTTCTGCCTGGCTTCTCCTTGCAGATCTGAGCTGCCCTGGGTGCGCGCAGGGACCCCCAGCCCCCTTTTATCCCACGGGGGCTTCAGTTCTCGTGCCCTCAGCCGGGGTTTGGCAGCCCCGAGAGCGCAGCGCCCTGGCGCAGCAGCGCTCCTCCCAAATCCCAGCTCTTCCCAAATCCCAGCTCCATCTCCGTGCCGTGAGCTTTCTGCCCCGGTGACTGCTGCTGGAAAGCTGCTGGCGAGCGCAGCTCTCGTGGTGCTGGTCCCTTCATAGCCTCAGCCTGCTCGTGGTTAACGTCGGCCACTTTTTCAGCTGTTGTCACGGCTCCGGTGCCCTCTCCAGCGCCGCTGGCTGCACCCGCAGCTGCTCGCCCCTGTTCTGGTACTTGGCACTGCAGCAGCTCCCTCCGCGGGGAGATTTTCCCTTTGTCTTTTATTTTTTCCTTTTGTCTTTTATTTTTTCCTTTTGTCTTTTATTTTTTTACAGATTTGGATTTGGAGGTTTTCCCATTTTCTGAGATTCAGCACAACTACCAACCCCAGCTTTCCTAACCCGTGCGCCCTGCAGAAGGGCCGGCTGTGGGGACGCGCGGTGCTTTTCCACGAGGTTTTCTGTAGAAAACTCCTGTGGGATGGATCAATCCATCCCCTCTTCCCACTAATCCCGTGCTGGATGAATCCACAGCTCACTGGGAACCAGAGAAGACGGCCACAAGACCTCAAGAATTTGGGTCGTGCTCTGGCCAGGAGAGGTGGCCAGGACATCTCCGGAGCCAGAGCTGCAAATCCTGGCACAATGAAGGTGCTGGAAGGCCTCTGGATTTCTGTTTTCTTTCCTTTTCTTTTTATTTTCTCTCCAATTTTTTTTTAAATTTAATTTTATTTATTTATTTTTTATTTGCAATATCTCCGACCTATCAGATCAAGATGCAAATAAAGACCGGCCCCTCCAATTCCCGCATGTCCCCGAGCTCACGCACTCATCCTTGCAAGCCTAATGGGATTTTTTTAAATTATTTTAACCAAATCTGCCTCTGTCTGTGCATGCAATCGTTGTCTGCACTGGTTCCATGTAGATGGTTCACTTTTCCCAAAGTTTTTGGGGACAGGTCCCCAGTTATCTTCCTGGGGTAGGAAAAGAGCCCGCGGTTCCCCCTTTCACAAAGGAGCTGCCTAAAGCAAAACAACCCCCCCTTCAAAATAAATAAAATAAAATAAAATAAAATAAAATAAATAAAATAAAATAAAATAAAATAAAATAAAATAAAATAAAATAAAATAAAATAAAATAAAATAAAATATGGAAATAAAATAAAATAAAATATGGAAATAAAATAAAATAAAATATGGAAATATGGGGGCTTTTCCTGCAGAGGGTGGGTTGAGGGGGCGCAGGGGTTGGTGGGGGGCGTGCAGGCAGTGGTGCCAGGGGGGGCGCAGGAGGTGGCAGCAGGCGATGCTCACGGGTGGGTGCTGGGGGGCGCAGGGGGGGTGCAGGAAGGTTTGGGGGGGACGGTGCTGGGCTCCCCCCGTTGCCTGGTGATGGTGTTTGTGACCTTTCAGGGCAGAACGGGAGGGATCCAGGCCGGGCTGGGGGCACCTGCGGTGGGTAAGGACTGCACCCCCCGTGGATCCTGCACCCCCCGTGGATCCTTTGGCAGGGGCTGTGCTCCCTGCTGAAACACTGCTGGGTCCTGGGGGGAGATTTGGGGCTTTTCCCCACGGATCCTAAACATCCCTCGCCCCTGCCAGCATCACCGAGCTCCTGCTTGTCCTCCCCCTGCCCCCTGTCCCCTTCCCATCCCCAAGTGGTTTCTCCCCATCTCCTCTTGCTCCCTTCTACCTCTCCTTTTATTTTTTAGGAATAAATCCTGCAGCTGCACTCAGGGCTTGTCCAAATCACTGCAGGATGCCCCAAAACCCCCTGGCATCCTCCCCTATGTGCTTTAATCCTGGAGCATCTCTCCCGCTCCTTTTCTCCTGGCTGCTTTGGCAAACAGCAAACTGCAGGCAAAAAAAAAAAAAAAAAAAAAAAAAAAAAAAGGAAAAACCCCCTCCAGGGCAAGCAGCATCCACCCAACAGCGAGAAAAACCAGTGTGAAAACTCAGCCGGGTCCTTAATGAGCAGATTTGTGGTGCTGCGTCGTGCTCAAAAAAGCGAAGGAATTGGTTTTGGTGTGCAGATCAGGAAGGGTTTTCCTGGAAAAGCTGCTCTGCGTGCGGCAAGAGGTGCTGTGCGCCACCTCAAAGCCTGATTTCAGGTCCTGTGCAGAGCCTGGGGAAAGAAGTGGCTTCCCCTGGCCCTGCGAAATGGGATTTTGGGGAGCGCTGGTGGCACACGGACGCAGCAGTGAGCTTCGGGGGGGGCGAGGATGTAGAGGGTGCATTTCTATCTTTTGGGTGAACACACGGGGAATCCTACGGGCTTTTTGGATAAACCACACTTTTGGAACATGAATTATTATTGATAACTGGGTTGTGAGCACGCAAAGGGCTCGGGGACCTTCCCGATAATGGGCGAAAAAAGCGGTAGGGATGGGTGCGTGCAGCCCTCCCCTGCCTCCACACCCCGTCACCGTGTCCTGGTGACCTGGGGGGACGAGGAAGGAAAAAAAGGATGCTCAGCAGTGGAAAACCAACCAGGAATTTCCCACGCAGGCGTGGAAAACCCATCACCCTACACAGCCCAGGAACCACCACCATGGCACAGCCGCGGAGCCCCCAACCCCCTGCGCCCTACCCAGAGGAGGTGCCCCGCACCCCGCTGCGCACCCGCTTCCACCTGGATGGGGGCCGGGCCCTGGAGCTGGGCAAATTTTACCAGGTGGGGACGGGGACGGGGATGGGGACAGAAGCACCCCGGGGGTTTCAGCCCAGGTATTGATCTTGTATCAATCCAGGTATTGATCTTGTATCGATACCTGGGCTGCACTGCTTGCCCAGGGTTGGGGGGCTGCACTGCTTGCCCGGACCCCTGCACAATTTTGGTTTCGCCCCCAGCTGGCCCAGCAGCACCGTGAGTTTTACCAGGACAAGACCGGGACGCTTTACCCCGTCCCCTACTTCGTGCTGCCCGTGAAGGAGATGGAGAGGTACCCGCACCCGCTGGACCTGTGAGTACCCAGGGGACGCCCCAGGGCGCTGGGACCCAGCCTGAGGGGTGTGGGGAGAGCTGGGGGTCCTCTGCTCGGCTGCTCCAGCCCCTTGCCAAGCAGCTACCTCCAAAAAAAAGGGTCCTGGAGATGAGAGGAGGGCAGAAAAGCTGAAAGGCAAAACTCGCCCTCTGTTACTCAAGCAGGAATTTGTGCCACCGGCACCAGTCAGGGGGGCTCCTGGGCACCGCGGGTCCCCCAGCCCCTCTGCCCATCCCATCCCACCTCTCCTCGCCCCTCTTTTCTGGGAGGATGATCGTGGCATCCCCCTTACCCCTTGCGGACAAACCCACCCCGCTCGCTGCCTCTCCTTGGGGGGCCCTCGTTGAGCCCCTCGAGGTGAAGCTCGCCCCTGTGGGTGCGTAAAGATAAAAAGATTTCGGACAACCCCACCGCGAAGGCGCAGCGCCCTCCTGGTCCCTAGAGCCCCTGGGAGCATTGGCATGGATTGACCAAGCCTGGAAGCCCACAAATCCCTTAAATTTTGGGTGTGGAGCCCCAAAAAGCTGCTTAACCCTGTGGTTAATGGGTGGGCACGGAGCACTTTGCCCCCACGCTGCGCGCTGTGCCCCTTTGGGCTGGCCACCGCTGGCCGTGCCCTGTGCCACCTGAAATGAGGACGGTGCACAGCGGTGGGGAGGGTTTCCTTCACCTCCCTGGTCCCATTTTGAGGAGAAAAGAGTGGGAAAAGGGGGACAAAGAGGGGAGCAGCTGCTACCAGGGCCAGGCACTCATCCTCCTCCTGGAGCAGAGCGCACGGGCAGCTAAGGGTGCTGGAGAACAAAGCTGGGCGCAATGCCCGCTGCCCCCCTGCCTTCAGGACCTTCTGGCAACCTTGTCACCAGCCCCCAGAGCCCAAAAATTCGGTGCCCAGCTGGTAACCTGCTGTCTTGCCCCCCCTGCAGCCCCCCTCTCAGCGGGAAGACCCGGTGGCATTTACAGCGCGTGTCCCCGGAGAACCTGCGGACCTACCAGACCTTCCCCTCGGGCAAAAGGGTCACCTCCGAGGAGAGGGAGGTCCGGGACAGCTTCTTCGAGTACCGAGCGTGAGGGACAGCACCCAGGCTGCCCTCGGTGGTGAGCTGGTCTCCGGGATGGGGGAGGCAGAGCCCTAAAATAAACGTAAAGCAGAGGGAGGTGGTGCTGGGTGGGGTCCGTGCGCACGGGGACCGAGCGGGACCCCAAGGAGAGGGGGCAGCCGCCCATCAGGGGGCTTCTCCTGCTGCTCCAGGATGTCAGAGGTTGGCTGGGATTGGGGACGGGCAGGGGGTTAGCTCGGTGGGATGGGGTCACCGACTGGCAGGGAAGGAGCCCCCTGTGCTGCCCTGTTGCCCGGGGATCTGCTGGTGGTGGTGGGGGGCACCCAGCTGGAGTGGATGGGGGAAAACAGGCGGGTTTGGGGAGCAGAAATCACAAAATAATGGAATCATGGACGCGTGGAATCGTGTAGGGTGGAGAAGATCTTCAAGGTCATCCAGTCCAGCCATCAGCCTGACCCTCTGAGACCCGTAGGGTGGGGTGGGTTGGAAGGGACCTTAAAAATCATCTCATTCCCATCATTAAACCATGTCCCCGTCACCACATGTCTCCTAAACACCCTCCAGGGATGGGGATGCCACCAGTGCCCTGGGCAGCCCATACCAGCCCCTCGCCACCTTCTCCATGAGGAAATTCTGCCCAATATCCAACGTGAGCCTCCTTTGGGGCAATTTGAGGCCATTTCCTTAAATTTTGAGGCCATTTCCTTAAATCTTCGTGCTCAGGACTGTGGAATTTAGGGCCGGCGAGCCCAGGGGTTCTCTGCAGGGGGAGGCAACTGGGAGGCTCCTGCTGCTTCTGGATGGTGCGTGGTGCTGCAAGAGGCTGGGCACAGCCTTATTCTTGCTCCATTTCTGCCAAAAAAGACCCATTTTCTGCTGACTTGGACACGGGTGACACATTTCAGAGCAGTGTCACCCAGCTGTCCCCACTGTTCCCACTGCCCACCGCAGAGCCAGCTTGGAGAGGACCTGCACCCCCCTGGGTGTGTGCTCGTTTGAAAGCCCAGAAATGCGTTTTTTTTTTAGCAGTTTTTTATTGATTTTTTTCCCCACTCGCTGACATCCGAAGTGAAATAACCCTTTTAAAGCTCAGCGCTCCCTCTGTGAGCTCGTGTCACCCCCATTAGAAGGGCTGATGGGGACCGGCTGCTCCAGCACTTCAAAAGCTGATTTTAACACACCGAGGGAAGTTCTTGCGCGTTTTAGTGCATTTCCAAAATCACCTCTTAAACTCCTCTTCGCATGGTGCACGATTTTAGCACCTGCCAGCAGACGCGATGAGGTGGTACAAAGACCAGACACCGAGGGACATCCATTTCTTTGAACTATAAGAAAAAAAATCGTTCGTGGCATCATTTTCACCAACATTTATTGGCCCTGCGAGACCCCTGTGCAGTTCCTCGCCCCAGCCTGAGCCCCCCAGCATCACCCTCTGGGGATTTTGCAGCTCTCCATGCCTCTGAGGAAGGAAATCTCATATTTTTTTGCCCTGGACAGCATTTCCAAGGCAGGTTCAGCCCCACGAGCATCCTCCTGGCACATGGAGACCCCGCGGAGCTCGGTGCCCTGCAGGGGGCTTCCACGGGGGATATCTCACCCTCTCCTCTTGGTTGTAAGAAATGGGGTTATGGGATGCTCCTGGAAGCCTTAAACCTCACCCTTTAAACTGTTGGGTGCAGCTGATGGAGCTGCTTCAGCAGATTTTGAGCCCTTTGCCCTCTGCTCCCCAGGGCTCTGTGCAGCACCGGGATCACCTCTGCCTCCCCAGGGAGGTGCAGCCGGTCCTGGTGAACCCTAAAAGCCAAGAGAAATTGAGGTGTTTGCAGCACACGAGCACCCAAACCCCTCCAAGGATGCTCACAGCCCTCACAGCCTTATTTTAAGGGCGTTCTCCAGGTCCGTGGCTCATCCTGGCACAGAAAACGCGGTGCTTGCCAAGGGCGCAGCGCTTGCAGCTCCCCCTAAAACAAGGCGCAAATTCAAGAAACCTCAGGTTTCTTCCCCCCAAAAAAGGGTAGAAAAGGGTTTGCGCCAAGAAAAAAAAAATGCTCAGGTTCCTTGGCTCTGCAGCTCCTCAGGTTTTCAAACCCTTCCCCCGTTAGAGGGCAGCGCAGCCCCGCAGGATGCGCGCACCGGGAGCGGGGTCGGATCCGGACCCTGCGGCACCCCGGGGGTCCTGGGCTGGGCTCTGCCTGGTCCAGATCTCGGTGCTGGGGGTCCTGTAATTGTATGGGAACTGTATTTTGTATGGGAATTGCACTTTGTATGGGAACTGCAAATCTTTGGGACCTGCATCTCTATGGGACCTGCATGGGGCTGGGAGGAAGGGGGTCCTTGCACCATTTGGGGACGGGGATGGTTCAGCTGGATTAAAACCCATCAGAGCAAGGCTCCTGGCACGGGGCGAAGGGATTTTGCCCTGAAGGGAAGGGCGATATACAGAAATAAAGGAATAAAGGGCTGGGGCATCCCTTCTGGAGCAAAAAAAAAGAGGACAGGGGATGAAGATGGCACCGAAACACCCTGAGAAGTTTGGGGCTCTTGGGTGAAAACGTGTCCCCAAAAACTCCAGCCGCTCTCCCCCTTCCCACCGAGCTGGCTGCTTCCCCCTAACCCCTCCGAGGTGGGCACCCCTCGTCCCAGCAGGACAGCTGGAGTTATGGGATCGCTCCAGCCCTCGTCCCTGCCAGGACAGCTTGGTGAATCACCCCGTGTGCCGGCCCTGTTGGCTCCTTCCCACCTCTCCCTGTTTAGTCTGCGAGCTCCTTTGGCCTGGGGATGTGTGTTATCGGGCGGCCGCCCCGCCAGCAGCACCAAGCCCGGCGTTGGGCAGAAAGAAGGCAATCCAGAATAAAAAAAAAATGCTTGTTTTCCCACTTTCAGCATGAAAAAAAATGTGGTTTTATTTTTTTTTTTTCATGGGGATGAGAGGCAGGGAGGGCGCAGCCTGGGCATGGGGCAGGCGGGTGCCAGCAGGAGCACGCTGCTCTCCAAGGGCAGCGGGGGAGAAACCCTGCCACCCCCCCAAAAACCCTTCCAGCCCTATTTCCCTCGGTTTTTAAGCTTCTGGAACATCCTAGAGTGCAGAGATTGATGCAGGAGGATTCAGGAGGATTGCTGGTAAGGAGGCAGCAGGGCAGGGGGCTGAAGGTTTCCAGCAGGGTGCTGCTGCCACCCCCCTGGACCACCCCAGCTTGGAGCCTGGCCTTAAAACCCTTTCATTTCAAACCCCATTTTTGGGGGAAGACAAAACAAAACAAAAAAAAGCCTCTGCACTCCAGGCAGCGTTCCCTGTTGTCCTGGGAGTTGCTTTTTCTCTGGCAGGGTAAATCTGACGCTGCTGGAGGCGCGTGCCTGGGAGCTCCTGCGTCATCCCCGGGCTCTGAGACCTGGCAGGCAGAGTCCCAGGGAAATGTCCTGGCTGCTTTGCCCAAACATCCCTGAGCTGGGGCTGTGGGATTTAACCCCTAACTTTGGGAAGGGTCCTGGTGAGCTCAGGCATTTTCAGCCTCACATGGTCCATTTTTTATACAAAAAACTTCATGGTTTGGGCTTTGCTCAAAGATCAGACAAAGGAGAATAAATTTGAGCAATTTGAGCATGATTTTAATGTATCTTCTGCTGGTTTGGGTTGGTTTGGCTTGGTTTGGGCTGGTTTGGGTTGGTTTGGGTTGGTTTGGGCTGGTTTGGGTTGGGTTGGGTTGGTTTGGGTTGGGTTGGGTTGGGTTTGATTGGGTTGGGTTGGTTTGGGTTGGTTTGGGTTGGTTTGGTTTGGGTTGGGTTGGGTTGGGTTTTTTGGGTTGGGTTGGGTTGGTTTGGTTTGGTTGGGTTGGGTTGGGTTGGTTGGGTTGGGTTGGTTGGGTTGGTTTGGATTGGGTTGGTTTGGGCTGGTTTGGGTTGGTTTGGGTTGGGTTGGGTTGGGTTGGGTTGGGTTGGGTTGTGTTGGTTTTTTTTTTTTTGGGTTGGGTTGGGTTTTTTGGGTTGGGTTGGAGAGCCAGACTTTCTGCACATGGTTGCTGTGCAGTTTCCGAAATGAGGAGAAATTTTAGAGGTTTGGGGGCCTTTCTGCTGCCTCCTTGGTGTTCTCCACACCCTTGGGACCTTCCAGAGCCTCCTGGGGGGAGTTCCATCAACATCCACCGAGCACAAAGCCCCCCAAAACGTGCCCTCCCACCCACCCCTCTTACACACATGGGGACGTGGCCCTCCTCCTCTTTCAGTTTGGTTTTGTCTTTACCTTTCAACGCCCCTGACAGCTCTTGCAGTGTTTTCCAGGAGCGTGCAGATAGCTTTAATTAAACGCAGGAAAGTCAAACGCGCCCGGCGTAATGCGGACTGACAGCTTATCTAAATACTCTCAGCTCTTGGGTTTTAATTAAGCCCTCCAGAGCCACAGTTTGATTCCTTAAGCACAGCTCAGTCTTCTCCCTCGTCACTCTTTTGGGACAGACTCTTCCTCGGGACAGAGGAACGGTTCCTGCACGGGAATTTGCTGTTTTCGCTCCTGGTTTCCCAAATTTTAAGCCCCGGACAGGTGATGGATTGTGCTGGCGTCAGGAAACCTGGACGGGCTGCCACAATTAAATCTCCCTGATGATAGAAATGGTCAAGTTGCTCATTTTTTTTGTCTTCTGAAAACCCTTTTTTATTTTTTTAAGGATCAGAAAGACCCCAGCAACATGGCACCAGCACTGAGCACCCCAAGGGGGGGGCGTCCCGGTGCCGTTTGCTTTGGAGTGGGGCTGCAGGAGGGACGACCCCAAAGAGATCAAACCCCAGGGGTTCTCCTCTCCCCCTTGAAGGCAAATTCGTGGCGTTTTGTGAAACGGCAGCGTTAAGTGAACCACGTCTCCTTCCCCTTGCACGTGCCCCGCTTTTCCCTCGGCAGCATAATCCCGCGGTGACGCAGCTGGGGCCGGGGGGCCGCGGCTCGTGGCGAGCATCTGTCCCCCACCCCCTGCCATCTGCGCCGCCGAGGGGAAGTAATTACACGAGGCTGATCATTAAAGTGTCCTTGGCTTCTGCTGCGGCACCCGGGGAAAGGAGCAGCCTCTCTCCCAGCAGGGGCACGGAGCGTGGCACGGCCTGGGGCGCACGGCTGGCACGGGGGGCACAGGCACCCCAAGGAAATTCCGGAGCCCTCGTTTCTCCCGTCACCATCCTTTGCCCCATTTTTCCCCTTTCTCTGCTCCATCCCATTTGGGGCTGCACGTGTGGGTGGCTGTTTGCACGGCCCCACGCTTTGCCGGGCTGGCAGGGGGCACGCGGTGCACGAGGATGCGCAACGCGGAGCGGTTTGGGGACCCGAACCCCAG